AATCATTAGATTTATGATTAGAACTAGACTCAAGTTCGGGACTAGAAGACTTAGAACTAGAAGATGACGTGGACTGAACTCGAGATAAAAGCTCAGTGAGGACATTACTTGAAGGGTTCACCAATTTTGTGTAGTACTTAGGACTCGCAAACCTTTTTTCTGAGCTATTATTTGGCGCGAGCAGATAATATCAAATTATACCAGCGTCGTAGTTCTTTTTTTCCTGTTTCTTGTTTGTTAGTTATTGTAGAATCACAAACATCAAGAGATGACACTGTAGGAAGACCTGAATTATCTTTAATATTTAAAAAACTTGATCCATTTTTAGTTTGAACAATCAAGATTGGGGCGGTATTATTTGTTGAATCTTCGGTTTGAAAAATATAAAAAAATATAGTATCTTTATTTTGTCCCGTTTTGAAGATGAGGCGTAAAAAAAGGTTGTAATTCAAAAATGTGACATCCATGATAACAAATATATTTTTAGAAATATGATCCAAATATTTATATCCATTTTGAGTGAGAGCATAACCAAAAAACACATTTTTTAGCTCAGGGTTTAAGTTTTCCATGATTATGCGTATGAATGTGAAGAAATGCAATACACACAAACCTCTTTATTGGTAAAAAAGACGAGAGCCGATTTGTTGGATAAATTTTATAAAAATTATCAAGAGGTGTTTTAAAGCTTAAAACCTTATTAGGAGAATGTAACAACACGAACCATAAATATATTTTGGCACTTCAGTGGTAAACATCAATGCCTAGGGGTGTGCATTATTTGGTCAAAACAAAAAAAATTGAATTGACGAAATTTGGTTGGTTCGGTTCGGTTTCAACAATGAATATCAATTTTTGGTTTTTAAAACTTTAAGATTCGTCTTTTCAATTTTCTGTTCGGTTTTAATTTTCATTTGATCGAACTAACCAAAAAATCCAAGTTTTATTAATATTATTTACTATCTTTTAATTTCATGTGGAATAAATTTTCAAAAATTAAAAATTTTATTACATGCAATATTTGATTGTAATAAATCTAGGATTAATATAATTAAATTGATATTATGTAGATAAAATATGTAATTCGTAATGTTTATTCTTAGCTAAACACCGATAAAATATTAAATTTGAGTTTGTTCATAACCAAATTGCTTAAAATGAATTAAATTTCGATTCGGTTGGTTCAGTTTGATTAAAATTTAGATTAGTTTGGTTTTCTGGATTCTGGATCTCAGTTGCAATTGATTTGACCAATTTTAAAACCGATCCATCCAAGCCGACCGAATGCTCACCCCTATCAATGCTCAAGCAACATCTTTTTTCGAAAAAAATAACCCAAAATGTATTTGAAATACTTTTAGCCATTACTACTTCGTAATATTTGAATAGTTTTTGAAATTGTGTGTACCATGGTGTGAGAATTTTTTTAAAATTATTTCTACTTTAGATTTTTTTAATTAAAAAGCCCCAACTTAATCTCATGTGATCATCGGTAATTGTTACAAACTATTTTTTCCTAAAATATGTAAGAGTTTTACAAAGACCCCAAATATCACCATGAACCAAAGTAAAATGTGTAGTTGGTTTGTATATTTGGGGAGAAGAAGACACATGATGATGTTTAGCAAATTGATAAACTTCTCAATGAAAAGAAGACATTTTTATTCTAAAATAAATTGGAAAATAAATACTTTAAATACTGAAAACTATGATGACCTAACTTATAACTTATAATGTCATAACTGAAAACTATGATGACCTAACTTATAATGTCATAACATAATATCATTATCTTTAGAAACAAAAACATAATTTAAAAAAAATACTTTGACATTGTCTGTTCGAGTTAAGTCCATCATTAAAATAATAATGTTCATCTTTTTTCTTAGCATTGTCAATTATCCTTCCAGTAGTCAATTCTTAAAACTCACAACAAAAATGGTAGAAATAAGCTTTACATCAAGGGTCAAAGATAATTTTATTAATGAACAACAAGTTACAAGATAAATTAGGAACATGGAGTTATCGTGAAGAGTTAAGGAAGTGAGTTTGATAGATCCTATCCTGACAAATTACCGCGATAACAACATTAATAATTTTGATTTTTTATTGCTTGCACAAGTTGTGTAGGATGAGAACAATTTAGAACAACTAGTTATATGATTAGTTGCACCATAATCAATTATTCAAGAATGAGTAGAATTATGAATAACATCTAACACTGCAATGGCTAGAGTCTTACCCTTTTCTAATAAAGGCAAGGTGGGAGTCAATGATAACTTTGGAGATTGAAACAATTTTTGTAGGTGCTTAAATTACTCCTTGGTGAAAGGGACTTCATCCGAGTTTGCAGAAGACTCTTAAGTTTCTTTAGCAGTGGCTCGAAAAACTCAACCTTCACGTTTGGATTTTGATTTTCAATTCACAGGTTTACCATGAATCTTCCAACATGTCTCTTGTGTATGTCATGATTTTTTGCAATGCTCGCATTATGGTTTCTTATATCCCTCTTTGTCAGTATCAACTTCTTTTGACATAAGAGCTAAGTTCTCCTGTTCAGTGTTAAAAGAAAGGTTAGGTGTTCCGCAACATTATTTTTTTTAATTGAATCTTCACATCTAATCTATGAAAAAAACTTCTTGAATAGAGGGTAGTGTTTTCTTATCGATAATGCAACCACTTCATCTAAACTCATATTAATGCCAGCTAAAAATATGTAGACCTATTTGTTTTTCTTTCTCTTCTTATTACGAGCATAGTCGTTTGATTCTCCCTAATCAGAACTTCAACCAGGCTTCTGACGTAATGTTACCAACTCATTGCAATAAACAGTAATATCACGGTCATTCTACTTGGATTTTCAAAGTTAAATTTTCAACTAAATAATTTTTGAAGAATTCTCTAGGTCTGAATAAAGATCTCGAACAACTTCTTAGATATCTTGAGCAGTGAGAGGAAATAGACGATACTTTCTTAGGGCAGGTTTCATGGAGTTGATGAGCTCAACCATAACCAAAGAGTTTTCAAACTGCCATATTTTTCAAATTAGGGTTAGCAGCAGCATGTTATGAACTTTCACCACTCAATTGCCCAATTTCACCTCTACCGTCAATTTTCCAATTTTATGTATTAAGCCCACTCGAGATTAGTTGTGCCCATTGAGTTTTAGCGGCTGAATTCTGAGAATAATGATTAACAGATACCAACGTGAGAGGGGTTTCAAAATTATTGGACCCGTTAGAGGTGGTAGAATTTATTTAGACTTCGGTCATCATCGGTGACTTATAAGACATCATCTGAATCAGAGGAGAGAAGGGGATGATGAAAACACACGAGTAGTAGCTACCTCAAGGTGAAGAAGCTTGAGTGCCCGGGGTTGGTTTCTTTGTCGATTCCTACTCGAGAGAAACTGCTTTGTAAGAGAAACGACTGGGGTTTCAATCATGCGAACAAAGTTTTGTTGCTAGTTATTTCATGCCTAGGATGAAGTCAACAAAGAAGAAGCTAGTGGAGAAGAAGTCGCAACTCTTGATGCCGTGACAGGCCCAAAGCCCTCGATGCGAAAACCGATCTAGAACCCTCGATGGCCAAGGACATAAACTGTCATAAATTTCCCAAGCTATAATAAGGTAACAAACATTACTAATAATAGGAAATTCTAATGGTAGAAAATAATAATAATAATAAAAAACTAAAAATAGAATTTTCTAAAATCCCAATCGATACAAATCTATAATTCGTGTGATAAATATGCTTTTTGATTTCATGAATATTAATCTTTTTGTTTAGAGTACTTAAAGTTACCGGTTGTTTTTCTTATAACTTCCACACTTTTTTGTAATGTTACAAATGTCCGCAAATTTTAGTAAGTTTACACTTGCTTTCTATTATCAATATGAACATAAAATTAAAACCAAATCATTTTTTCTTCATCTTCAACTCTAGTTTTCCCTGTCTCTCTACTCTCTCCCTCTCTCTCCCCCAATCCCCCACCCACTCGTTCATGTAAACCCCAAACAATTTGGGCTGAGAATTAGAGGTCACGACCATGGTGATGACTAATAATCTAAAGGCAGGCAACCAGATGCTGTATTTCTAACCTTGTGATTTATCATGAACATTGATTATTACTTGGGTGACTAAATTATTACTGACTTGTTGGGTAACGTTTTGGATACGAGTACTTTGATCTTAGAACATAATGGTGATGTGGCAATGCGATGGTGTCACTTTAGGAGATTTTATAAGATTATATAGATGACATTGAACTTTAGGCTGATTATTGTATTATTTTTGGACTCATATTAAGCACACTGATCATACTTTTTTACAGCTGTTTTAGAGTACGGGAATTCATTGTTTTTTGCTAAACTTTCTCGCATATTTCTCTGTTTCTGGCTGCAGTATCCCTTTCTGATTAATGTATGAATTAATAATTTTTCGTGGCTGGTTTATTTTATTTTATTTTTTATTTATTGACACAGAAAGTAAAACCTTAACTTTTTACTGGCCATTTTCCCTCATTGCTTGAAATGATTTTAAAACAGGTGCATTTCTGAAACCAAATCTAGTGTCAACAAATATTTTATTTTATTTATCGTGGGCTTGTTTCTCGCTAATGTATCCCTTCTGTTATGGATTTCCTTTGGGATAAGTTTATGCAAAAATTTTATTCTTTTCCACAATAAACTCTAAAACCTTCAAGTTTGGCATCAGAATCTTTGCCTTGTTATCTTGTATGCGAGAAACTTCTTCTTTCGTCAATCAAAGACTGCCATTGATGCTAAGCTCCTCTTCAAGCCAGAGCACCTTTCGAAGTATAAACAATTTTAATCGTCAGAAGATACCTTACTGTAGTGTGGCCAAATTGGACTCTTCAAACGGATAACTTGTTTTGTTTCTTCAAGCAATATAGTTTTCAAACTGTGTTTCCATCTTTAGAGCATAATGTGCATTATATAACCTGTGCTTCTGCACTTCCATCACTGATCATCAAACAGTACAAAGCTTTTGTAGGGCCACCCGATCCAGCTCCAGTATTCTTTCTGTTGCAGTTATGACCCATGCATTCCTCCATCCTTCCAAATTAGTCCTCTCAAGAAAGAACTACGAAGGCTACATCCCCGGAACCATCACTTCTTGCCTCGCTCAACCATCGCCTTCGTCTTTGCCATTTACATCCCGCCTCACATCCTTCGATCCACCACAGCGTTCTGAAGAATGGTTCACTCTTCGGAAGGACAAGCTAACCACCAGCACCTTCAGCACCGCATTGGGTTTTTGGAAGGGAAACCGCCGATCCGAACTGTGGCAGCAGAAGGTGTTTGCACCCGAATCCAACACACTTGAAGCATCCGCCATGGCTGCGATGAATTGGGGAGTAGCCAACGAGTCTGCAGCAATCGAATGCTACAAGAGCATGACAGGCCAGGATGTGAGCTTCTTAGGATTTGCAGTGCATGCAGAAGCGACATCCGAGTGGCTTGGCGCCTCCCCTGACGGGCTTGTGGGTGCTGGGATATTGGAGGTGAAGTGTCCTTACAACAAGGGGAAGCCGGAGCTGGGGTTGCCATGGCAAGCTGTGCCATACTACTACATGCCTCAGGTTCAGGGCCAGATGGAGATAATGGACCGGGATTGGGTGGATTTGTATTGCTGGACGCCGAATGGAAGTGTCGTGTTTCGGGTGTTTAGGGATCGCGAGTACTGGGAGTTGATGCATTGGATGTTGCAGGATTTCTGGTGGGGGAGTGTCATGCCGGCGAGGGAGGCGCTGATGATGGGGAAGGAGGAGGTGGCAAAGGCTTATGAGCCTCAACCAAAGCATGATCTGACTGGTAGGATAATTGGTAAGAGCAGAAAACTTGCTGCTCAGGCGAAAATGTTGTGCCGTGATATTGGAGGACACGTGGAGTTCTTTAGGTGATATTGCTGTGTTTGTGGATCATGGGTGATGTTTAGGCTCTATTTATCAAATATGTATTTGATTCATTGTTATATAATGTTTATTATTGTTTCAACAACTGTATTCATCGTTGTAGATCTTATTCAGTATGATTTTATTTTATAGAGGAATGAAGAAAATTACTACCCATTTTATGTAAGAAAATAAAAAAAAAATTCAACTGCAGGTGCTTGAACACATAAAAACATGAGCGTTCAATTATTTGAATTTGATTGATGCAGAAGAAAAACATTTAAGTCTTTATTTGGGAAAGCTTTGATATTTGGAGGAGACTGTTCATGGCTGGCATAGTTAGCCCCTTCTCCAAGGGAAAGTTTACTTCCAGAATTCCAACCCTTTTTGTTGCTTGGATTCTAAAACTTCCTGGAAAAGTTTAAATTGACCATTCATTGCTTTTGATGGGGGTATATGAACCTCTTTTTGAATATCATTTTGAAAATCTGACAAATTTTTTATTTCATTCATTTATTTATTTGAGCCAAACCTCCCATAGACTTGCATTTTCTATATTTATTTTGAGCAAGATTATTGTGTAATGATTTCGTTTTTTCCAATACTTTGTAACCATTCTTGAATGCGTAGCACATTTATTGGACATAAAGTGAAGAATTTAAAATGTCAATTCTGAATGCTCACCAACGCTAAAAATACTAAGAAGTTTGATTGTGTAACCATTCTTGAATGCGTAGCACATTTATTGGAAATAAAGTGTAGAATTTAAAATGTCAAGTCCGAATGCTCACCAACGCTAAAAAACTTAAGAAGAAGTTTGATTGTTTCTCCAACTCTCAACACATAACATATCAGATAGCTCCTCATTGACCAAAATCTGACGCCTTCATTGTATTCCACTATCCCACTACCATTCTCACCCTACTTCTTTAACCTCTATATCATGTCGAATATTTGGATTACCCTCGCAAAAGAAAAGAAAAAAAGAAGAAGAAGAAAACCCAACAATGTGACACTTTCATACAAATCAAGAATGAATTACATTATCTATCCATGAAATCTTAAGGTATGACCCAATACTTATCCACTATTTAAGCTCTTGTTGATAACATTTTAGCAGCAATTGGACAACTAGATCTACAGGATATTTTCTTCTATATGTTAAGTGGAATACCACTAGGAACCAACATACCAGACATTCAAAGCTGCAATCTAGACAAAACTCTAATGGACCTCAATGACTTTTACTCCCTTCTATGTATCAAATTAATCAACCATGCCAGTGACCCCCCTCAGGTCAGGAACCCCTCCCAATCCCCAACTAGCTATTCAAAAAATGAGAAGAACCTATAACAACCCCACTTGGGGTAGAGGTCATAATCAACACACTTCAACATACTGTCGTAGACGTGGTCGTAACTACTGCAGACTTACCATAGTCTGCCAAATTTGCAATAAATTTGGCCATTCAAGCGTCAGTTGTTAGTACTGAGCCAATATTGAGTACACCCCTTCTCCTAATCAGATGCTACATGCTATGACCTCCAATTAGCTTTTGGATTCAGGTGCAACAACCCACCTCACATCTGATATGACTTACTTTTAAAGTACTACACCTACAAATGGGTCCAAACAAGTCCTTATTAGTAATGGACAACTATCCCAACACAACACATCAGAGAGCGTGTACTACCTACCTCAACACTAAAGCTTCTTCTAACTCAAATATGGAATATTCCCTCATTATCCTATAACCTCCTTTCAGTACATAAGCTAACCCATGACAACAAAGTTGCTATCCTATTTGATTCTACAGGTTTTACTATCCTTGACCCATGATTGCAAACACTTACTTTAAAGCCACATCTCTGAATGCCTCTATCCAATTACTTCAACTTGCGGAATCTGCAACCAGCTATTCCTTCCTTAGCATTGCTTCACTGTAGAAACCAACAATTTGACACAAGCATCTTGGACCTCCACGCAAAGAAGTGCTCAATATTTTGCTTAAGAGATACCTCTCTATAGGCCTATCATCTAAACCTCAACATTGTAATAGTTTCAATACCATCAAGAGTTACAAATAACATTTCTCCAATTCCTATCGAGTTATGTTGTCTCCTCTCCAACTTTATATATGGATGTATGGGGTCCATCCCCAATTATCTCATCAAGGATATCAATATTATATTGTCTTCATTAACAACAATTCAAAATTTTACTGAGTATTTTCTATGTTTACAGAATTTTAAATTGCAAAAAAATGTATAACATTCATTGAAATGCTAAGCACAATTTCATATTATTGTGGGAGTATTGTGCTGCGATGGTGGTGACGAATTCAACATCACAACTCTTACAAATATCTTTTCAGAAAATGACATTCTTCATAAATTCTCTTGTCCATATACTCCAGAGCAAGATAGAGTTGTGGAACGGAAACATCGCCACTTGATAGAAACTACTCACACGCTCCTCTTTGATGCCTCTCTCCCTTATAAATTTTTGGTGAATACACTTCTTACAACACCGGATTTTATTAATCGAATGTCATCCAAGAATACTCGACAAAGTTCACCATATGAGCTACTACACCATCACCAACCCACCTATGCACACCTAAGGATCTTTTGATTTATTATCCATGGCTAAAATCACAAGCACCTCACAAAGTCACTCCTCCTTCCACCCTATGTATATTCGTAGGGTACCCACTAATCCTCAAAGGCTATAATATTTTTAATTCTCAAACTAGCAAAGTGCTTCTCTCGACATGTTGAATTTGATGAACAATACTTTCTATATGCCACACCTCTAAACCAAATTTCCAACGCAACCCCTTGCTTCTTACACACATGTCGCTTAATAAAATCTCAACTGCATTTCACCAATGAGCAACTACCCATGACCCCTCTCATTCCATTCAACAAACTCATACTTCTCCAAGTTAGTATCTTTCAGTGCTGAAATAGAGCCTATGACACTCAACAATATAATTCTTAAACCAAAACCCACTGTGCCACCTTTCATCCAATGCTCAAGCATGCCAAACATGTCCCCTAAAACCAACTCAGGAACACAAACTTTTGCATCAGTTGCAACACCCACTCGACTCCACATGCTACGCCTAGACGGTTAAGTTCACACATTGGAGGTGAGCCATGAAGAGTTCTATGTTCTTCTAGTACAAGCCACATGGAAACTTGTTCCACCTCCACCCGATCAACCATTTTGGGTTGTTGTTAGACATACCACACTAAATTTCATTTAAATGGAATGGTAGTAAGATAAAAATCATGACTTGTCGTACAAGGGTATAAACAATAAATTGATATTAATTATCATGCCATATTTAGTTCAGTTGCAAAAATATTGACCCTTCAAATCTCTTTACTATTGCTTTCCAAAGACAATGGCCTTTCTTCCAATTCGACATGTTTGTTGCTTTTATACATGAGACCCTCCTTGAAATAGTTCACATGAAACAACCCATCAGCTTCATCAACCCACAACTCCCCAAGCATGTATGCCTCCTCACAAAAGTCCTTATATGGTTTGAAACAATCTTCATGATAATGGTTCACAACAATTCTGGAATTCTTCATTGAGATAAATTTTAAATTTAGCAAGGTAGATCCACCACTACTTGTTTCCAAACAAATAAATCATCATACTTATTTGCTAATATACATAGATGACATTTTGATTACAAGAGATAACAACCCTATGATTGCAAGTCTAAATTGGAGACTACATTCTAGATTCCATATCAAATATATGGGCCAAGTGTCTCAATTCTTAAGCATAAATGTTACTTTAACCACCATGCCCATGTTTTTTGGACTACAACAAGACGTTCAACAGCTACTCCAAAAATTAGTTATGAACTAGTCTCTACTCCATTTCCAAGCAAGCTTAACTTGTTGACCACACCAACCCATCAACTTGAAAATCCCACCATGTATCAACAATTCATGTGTTCACTAAGATTAGAAATCTCCTTTGTTGTCGACCATCTATACCAACAGATGCATAATCCTTCAAACCACAATCTTTAATTGCTAAACACCCGCTTAGGTATCCCCGAGGAACCAATGATTTTGATGTTCTCATTATACTAGGAGACATCACCCTTCACATTTATTTTGACTCAATTTGGGTTAGAGATGTCGAGAATTGTCAGCCCACAATAGGTTTCTGCTTATTCCTTGGAAACAAACCTTTTTCTTTGACTGTCAAGAAGCAACACGTGGTGACCAGTTTTATATCAAAGCGGAACACTGCATTCTTGAAATGCCCACCGTTGATATCATTTAATGCTGTTGTCTACATTCTGAATTTGACATTCCTCAACACTTTCCAACCAAACTGTAATGACAATCTCTCTGTCATTGTGATAGCAAACAATCTATTGTTTCATGCATGCAACAAACAATCTAGTGTTTCATGTATGTAACAAACATATTGAGATTGATTACTATTTCATTCGGGACCACAACATTTCGAGACAACTCCAAATACTCTACATCAACACCTCCGATCAACCAATCAATATTTTCACTAAGTATCTATCCAAAGAACAATCAATCTGCTTCATTCTGAGCTAATGGACTCTCTAAGACCCATCACGTTGTCAAGAGATAATATCATTATAATGCCAACTATAAAGTAGGATAACAAACTTCTGTGCTCTAATCATCCAGTGATAACCTCCACCTTTAAGCATTGAGATAAGTTCATTATATTAGCTATTAGAAGAACCTTCTTCCATTTCTATATATAGTCTTTGCATTGTACTTCATGATTTTGGTGAAGTGAATGGGATAAAATTTTTGTTGTGTATTAGATGGGCTATGTCTTTACCATTGTTGTCAACTAGGAGGGTCAGAATGTTCTAAATTAAATTAAAATAAAAAAAATATTTATAATTAGACTTTTGTCCTCATTCTATTTATTTTTATGTAATTGAAAATAAATTTAAAGAACTTATTTTAATTTAAAAACTTTATTGAATCCCTTTTATCTATGGATCACTCCCATGGAATAGAGTATAGGGAAGCAGAGAGAGAGAGAGAGAGAGCTGAATAGCAAAGTTAAAGTGGATATGAGAAGATTTTCATAAATTGTTGGTCTTTTTCGAATCCAAAAGA